ATTAGTATTATCATTATCAATATCATTATCCAGATTATTATCATTATTATTATTATCATCATTTCATTAGTATTCTTATTATCTTAATATTTCATTATTATCATTATTATTATTATTGTTATTAACATTACAATTACCATTAACATTATTATCATCATCATTATTATAATCATTATCATCATTATTATTACTATAATCATCATTATCATTATCATCATTAGTATCATTAACATTAATATTCAAAACAATAAAACTGCAACTAGCTTCCCCAAACCTTTGATAATGCAATCCATAGTCACGATGCACTTGTAGAATCGGGAACAGTCAGCTAGCGATGGAAAACTCCCGGGCTCAATACATTCATACACTGTCGTAGGGTCCAGCTGTAAGTGTATTTGAAATTCGTGTCATCAGTTCAGAAAAAAAAGCATATTACAGATAATAGTAATAATAATTTTAATAATAATGATAATAATAATGATAGTAATTATAATGATAATAATAATAATAATAATAATAATAATAATAATAATAATAATAATAATAACAATAATAATAACGATAATAATAATAATAATAATAATAATAATAATAATAATAATAATAATAATAATAATAATAATAATAGTAATTATAATGATAATAATTATAACAATAATAATTATAACAATAATAATAATCCTAATGATAATAATAATAATAATAATAATAGTAATAATAATAATAATGATAATAATAATAATAATAACAATAATAATAATAACAATTGATAAATAAATAATTGAACAAATTAGTGCGTTTTCTTGGAAATGACTGTATCTGTGACAAAGTACATCAAGGTAGCTTTGAACTTGGCTTCACGAACAGACCTCATAGGGAGGACACGTAGGCGGGCCGACAGGGGCTGGAGCGGGCGCCGGGGGTCCCACGGGCGCAGGAGGACCGGGGGGAGGCAGAGGAGCAGGGGTAGGGGCAGGGACGGGAAGAGGAGCAAGGGACGGTAAAGGAAGAGAAGAACCAGATAAGCAGTTGGAGCCATAAGCGTGCACACAAATGCCGAGGCCTTCGCTGAACACCGTGCCGGGTGCGCACTCGAACTTGACCTTTCTTGTGGCATATTCGCTTCCACCGATACTACCGACGCACCTGCCAGGGAAGAAAATGTAGGAGTTATCCGTGAAAACGGGTATCATAGAAAATGGATTTGACTGAGAAGTTACTCGGTAAATTATTATCATAGAAAATTGAGAAATCATAAGGGTAACTGTTTATTTTTTGAAGACTGTGAGCGTTCTTTACATATGTTAAATGTTAACAGCAATCATGTGACTAAGTAACTGAACGATATGGAACTCATGAGACAATAATAGTGAAAACAACAATAATACTAGGAACAGTGAAGCAACAATAATAATAAATACAATAGTAATATGAGTATATACATACATACTTACACAGGCAAATAGACAGACAGGTAGACAAATAGACGTGGATGGACTGGTGTGTCTACACCCCCCCTCCCTTACTCAACACATATACAGGCACATTATATCAAATGAACCAATAAAAAAATCATGTGCAACTACCTAGGCTATCAAAAAGTAATCACGGGACAGTTACTTAGACTAATGTAACTCTAGTTAAGCCAGACACTGCAAGATTGTTATCAATCACCTGCAACAACACAAACAACCCTCCTTGTTTTGACAACGGCATTCAACACTAACCTATCCGTTTGCAAAGTATGTAATTCCCTATGCCTTGATGACGATACTGATTAGAAAACCCAAATAATTGCCGTTCTGAAAAGAGAGGAGGCTGTATCCCCCCTCCCCCCTCCTCCCTACCCCATTGCTATTTTCAGCCCCTTCATAAACGCACAATTTCGCTTACATGTAAAAGGACGAGCACGTAGGCCCAGGAACGAGCTCTCCCGGTTTGCATTTCCTGAGCGACGGGCTCCCTGCGGCGTCGGCACTTACGGGCGGTGGCGGCGGTGCTGGCGGGCCTGCGGGGGAGAGCGGGAGATGAGGCGGAAGGAGGCATGTAAGAAGCAGTGGGGAACGGAGAGAGACGAGGAGGGAGAGAGAGAGAGAGAGAGAGAGAGAGAGAGAGAGAGAGAGAGAGGGAGGGAGGGAGAGAGAGAGAGAGAGAGAGAGAGAGAGAGAGAGAGAGAGAGAGAGAGAGAGAGAGAGAGAGAGAGAGAGAGAGGAGAGATAGAGACAGATATATATATATATATATATATATATATATATATATATATAGAGAGAGAGAGAGAGAGAGAGAGAGAGAGAGAGAGAGAGAGAGAGAGAGAGAGAGAGAGAGAGAGTAATAATGATGAAGATCACGACGATGACAAGAACAGCGATAATGGTAATAATGACAATACTAATAATAAAACAAAATATGATAATTACAAAAAAACAAAACACATACCGTAATGCTGCGCGACCGAAGCCGACGCCAGCGCCACCACCAACACGAACAGTTGTGGAACCTTGAATGCGAAAGCCAATCACTATTTACTTTTCAGGATTAATCAAAATTCATTTAGCATCTGCTTTTGATGTAAATGTATTGCTTCTGTCGTTCAAGTTTGGTTGTTTTATTTCCTATAAAACTAAATGGTATTTTTTTTAAAAGAACGTGTGCGTGTGTGTGTGTGCGTGTGTGTGCGTGTGTGTGTGTGTGCGTGTGTGTGTGTGTGTGTGTGTGTGTGTGTGTGTGTGTGTGTGTGTGTGTGTGTGTGTGTGTGTGTGTGTGTGTGTGTGTGTGTGTGTACTGATAACTTTCGATAACAGCTACATTTAATACGGCAGAGATAAGGGGGCCGTCCCTCAAAGTGGTGGTGGCAGGGCAAACATGGAAGGTAAATGGGGTAACTTTTATCATGTTAATAAAATGAAAACGGTCTTACCGATTTTCTTCAAAATTGGGTATTTTGCGCAAATTCCCCGATGCCCCCCTCAAAAATCTTTTTACCACATACGTCTCTTGCGTACCGATATTGGCCCACACTAATGCATACATTGCAATGAAAAAATCAGCATAAATATCGATAAAATCCAAAAAGATTGAAGATTTTTTTGAATTTCGGTACCGTTTTTTGTGGGGGGGGCAAATTTTGGGAAATTGAAAAAAAAAAAATTGGGGTGGGGGAAACTAAGACAAAAAAACTCGTATCAATCTCTTTGGATTTTATCGCTGTCTATGCAACAGTGCAACAGAGACGTATGTGGTAAAAAAAAGATTGAGTGGGGCATTGGGGAATTTCCACAAACCTTGTACCAAAGATGTAAAATGCTAAAATGAACCAAATTTAGAAGAAAATCGGTAAGATCGTTTTGATTTTATTAATATGAAAAAAATTACCCGTTCAATTTTTCCCTGCTACCACCACTTTGAGGGACGGTGCCTATAACGGGCAATGGGATACGTGTCTATATTTTTTTTCTTAATGAATAAACTGTCAACATCTTCCAGTATTTGGTGTAAGAGATCGTGTTTTCTGCTATTTGTTTTTTTTCCTAACTAGAAATATACTTAATGAATTCTGAAAATAATTGTGTAACGATAAGTGAACGGTTGCACACCAGAAAGAAAATATTCTTAATAAAATTCTATTTTCTTTCATTCTCCATTCCTTCACCTATTTATTATTGTCATTTACTGATCAATCTACCCTTTCGTTCTCAAATTACTTATAAATTCATTATCCAAAGCCTTTATACGGAGTACCACTCATAAAAAAAATTGATTCAAGTCACGACAAGACATTCATTTAATGGAATCGTTAGTCTTTTTTTTCTCTCTCTCTCTCTTTCTTTCTTTTCTTCTTCCTATTTTTTGTGAGAAGTTTTATTATTTATTTACGTTCATCGACCACGAGAGTGCGATGTAGAAGCATTGTTTGTTCTCAAAGCAGTTCTGAAGAAAGATTGTTATCATTCACACACATAGGAGGCATACAGACTACACATTCGTACTAAAATACGTACATATATGTCTATGCATACATACAAATACATATACTCATACTCTCACATGTACACACATAAACACATACACACACACACACACACACACACACACACACACACACACACACACACACACACACACACACACACACATGCATTCACACACATACACACATACATATATAAATATAGATGTATGGACAGATAGATAGATAAATAAATAGATAGACAGGTAGATAACGAGATAGACAGCCATGCAGATAACTAAACAGATAGACAGGAAGATAGCTAGATAGAAGGACATACGAATCGATAGATAAATATAGACATATATTTACAAACCATAAAATACGCACACACAGAAATCGATACAGTCCTTGAAATATATGTATAGCCTTTAATCAAAAACTTAGTAAACCAAGAAGATAAATATAACAGGCAATAAAAACAAATAATAGGAAAGAAGAAGAAAAAAAACATTAATAAAAAAATATATGTACCCAACTCATACTCAGTTCTGAAATGTATTACGTCATAAATACAAGAAAAAATAGTATACTATCTTTGATATATAGTCTCAATGTGTGACATATTTCAACCTAAATGTTTAATTACATACTTTATGCATTCTATATAGAGCTAAGCAGGTGTGTTTGAAATCACTGTACTACGAATATTAGCACCCCCCCCCATTAATATAGACTTTGGTAGAAGTAATGATGATGGTGTGATGGTTATAAGGGTGCGTGATAGTGAATTAGTGACGATAATGATGAGAATGATTGCAACAGCAACATGTACAACAATTATAGTCATAGTAATGATGTGATAATAAATAATAAACGTAATAATTAAAATTGTAGTGATGATGATGATGAAGAGGATGATGGTAATGATGATGATGATCATGATGAAGACGGTAATAACAGCAACAACAATAATGATTATAATAGTATTTATTTAGATGATGTTAAGGGTGATGATCATCCCCATCATAATGATAATAGCAATAATAGCAATTATTTTTGTTATATGATAATGATAATAATAAGAACAGTGTTAATTATAATAGTAATAATAACAATGTTAATAATAATATTATTAATAATAGTAACAATAATTATATTAATAATAATGATAACAATAATGATAATGATAATAATAATAATAATAATAATAATAATAATAATAATAATAATAATAATAATAATAATAATAATGATAACAACAATAATAGTAATAGTATTAATAATAACAGTAATAATAATAACAACAACAACAAAACCGATAATGATGACAACAACAACAACAATAAGAAACAATAACGCAAGCAACAACAACAATTGCAAAACAAGGCGACGAGGTCACGGTTGCAACGAGCGATTTGCAACCACTGCGCTTGTTATAACACGAGAGGTGATTTCCATTTCAACAGACAAGTCAAAAACTCAAAAAAGTGTTGATAAAGTTTTCTGTTTCTTTCTGTGTATTGATTAGAGTGTGAGTGTTGAGGGGAGGGGGAGGGGGGAGGGGGGGAGGGAAGGAGGGGAGGGAGAGGAGAAGGAGGGGAGGGGGAGGGGGAGGGGGAGGGGGGGGAGGGGGAGTGGGAGGGGGGAGGGGAAGGGAAAGGGAGGGGGTGGAGAAGGAGTAGAGGGAAGGGAATGGGAATAGGAAGAGGGAGAGGGGGAGGGTAAAAGAAGGAAGGAAGAGGGAGGAAGAGGAATGGGGGGAAAAGAAGGGAAGAGAGAGAGAGAGAGAGAGAGAGAGAGAGAGAGAGAGAGAGAGAGAGAGAGAGAGAGAGAGAGAGAGAGAGAGAGAGAGAGAGAGAAGGAGACAGACAGACAGAGAATATACATACATACTACCTGTTGCACCTAATCAATACGAAACCCACTTATCATAAAAAAAACACACACTGGCAACATCACGCTAAAAAAAACAACGCCATCTTTTGGGGGAGAATACACTACATTAGGCACAATATTTGCAATCAGAAAATGCAACCCTGTCAAATATGAATTAAAAAAAAAACAGCAAACATATCAAATAATCTACTTTCTGTTTCCAAAGCAGATGTAAAGGAAATGATTAAATAAGGAAACTTCGCCGAACGCAAATATTCGCGCGCAAAAAAAGACATAAACATAAATAAAAGACAAATAAAAACACGCATTACTGTAACACGCAAAAACTAGTTCTCACGCGCAGCTAACACACACAGATAATTCTTGAATCAAGCATACCATCGTGACACAAACAAACACACATGCCTTCCACGAACAGTTTAAGAATGGGAGGAGAGAGAGAGAGAGAGAGAGAGAGAGAGAGAGAGAGAGAGAGAGAGAGAGAGAGAGAGAGAGAGAGAGACAGACAGACAGACAGACAGACACACACACACACACAAACACACACACACACACACACACACACACACACACACACACACACACACACACACACACACACACACACACACACACACACACACACACACAGAAAGAGACAGAGACAGGGAGAGAGAGAGAGAGACAAACAGAGAGAGAGAGAAACAGAGAGAGACAAAAACAGAAACACACAGACAAAAACAGGCAGACACACAAACACACACACATAAACAGACCAACCAACGCAGCCAGCTAAGACTTCGCTGTCAACCGATTCCCGGAAAGCGAACGAAAGGGCCAGCGAAATTCGGCGGAAGAAAAGAGGAACTGATGAATGACCAAAACAAACGCGAAGGGAGGAACAGGAAGAGGAAGAAATTGGCGATTATAGAAAGTAGTAAGAATGTAAATTGTGTGTGTGTGTGTGTGTGTGTGTGTGTGTGTGTGTGTGTGTGTGTGTGTGTGTGTGTGTGTGTGTTTGTGTGTGTGTGTGTGTGTGTGTGTGTGTGTGTGTGTGTGTCTGTGTGTCTGTGTGTGTGTGTGTGGAGTGGAGTAACGAATAGGAATTGGAAGAGGAGGTGGAGGAAGAGGAGAAGGAGGAGGAAGAGGAGGAAGAGGAGGAGGAAGAGAGGAGGAGGAGGAGGAGGAGGAGGAGGAGGAGGAAGAAGAAGAAGAAGAAGAAGAAGAAGAAGAAGAAGAAGAAGAAGAAGAAGAAGAAGAAGAAGAAGAAGAAGAAGAAGAAGAAAAAGAAGAAGAAGAAGAAGAAGAAGAAGAAGAAGAAGAAGAAGAAGAAGAAGAAGAAGAAGAAGAAGAAGAAGAAGAAGAGGAGGAGGAGGAGGAGGAGGAGGAGGAAGAAAAAGAAAAAGAAGAAGGAGAGGAGGAGGAGGAGGAAGAAAAAGAAAAAAAGAAGAAGAAAAGGAAGAGGAGGAAGATAAAGAAGAAGAAGAAGAAAAAAAGAGGAGGAGGAGGAAAGAGAAAAGGGAGAAGAAGAAAAAGAGAAGGAGGATGAAGAATATAATGACAACGGAAATGGAAGAAGAGAAAGACCCGAAAGACGAAAATAGAATGGTCCACCGTCAGTATTGAATATGAATTATTTACAAAAGATAAAATTCGGTCTGAGTTATGGATTC